AAGGATTTATTCCGTAGGAATTGAATAAGGCATTTATTGGTTATTTTGATTATTACTCGTGAAACAGAATATCAGTTGGATCTAATAATAATTACATAAAATGTTACGAGTTGGAAGAACATTTTATGGGATAAAATTAAATGGTTTCGAGTCTGATTATTATGTCTGATGTATTATATTGGATAAGGGAACATATGTTTGAAAGTTTTCTTATATATATATATATATACTTTTTTATAAAAGCAAAAAAATATTAAGATATTTATATTGAAAATTGATTACTTTCAAAGACCATTCTAATTTTAATTGTATGTGATATTTATCGTTGAAGGTAAGAGAGAGATAAATGAATACGTTAAAAGAATGTTTTGATCGACGATAAAGAAATATGTATATATAATTCTGTTCAGAAAATTAGAGATGACTTTGTAATCTTAAACGCCATTATCTCATCGAGTTTATGAATCGTGTAATGTATCATCTGAAAACCTCATTAAATTTTACTCTTTTATTTTATATTTAAGAGCTGTGTCAGATATATAAAACGTATTTAATTGTACTTAATCCTTGTAAACTAGTTTGAAACTTTAGAAACGATTATTTTTCAGTTTCCAAAAAAATATTTCGTTGAATTCTTGTTATTAAGTTCTCGTTCATTCTTATTCCAAATGACAAAGGAGTTGAAATTGATAAAAGTGATATAAATTCGTAAATGAATAAAGAAGTGTGTTGTTAACGCTTTGAAATTAAAGTTTAGAGATTTAGAAGTGCTCTTGTGGTCGTACATTCGAGCGACATACGTCTTCAAGAACTCGAGCATAGTTGAAAGATAGGGGTAAGTTTCCCTCGAAGGTATCTTGGCCACTGTACGTTGAACTTTAGGAAAGTGGTGTACTTTCTTGTAGTCAGAGGGTTGCAATTAAACTGAATTTAGGGATTCTGTAGATTCTATGTATCTTGCGTTATTTGTTGTTCGCAAGAGAACAATTTGTTTCATACTATTTCCCTTATTTTAAATATTCGTTTCATACGAATTTATTAAAGGATGGGTTATTTATATTTCAATTACTTATTTAACTCTTCAATTTTTAATACAATTGACTTATCCATGAAAAATATTGATCCCTCAATTTTTTCAAAAAAATTTATTCTCAAGTTTTTTAATCACGAGAATTTCTCTGTTTCAAAAATTATTCACATTCCGTCAAATTATTCGTGATAAATAATAGAACCAATAATAATTCACGTAAAATAACTTTTAATATAAATATTTAAATCATTCGAAAAAAATTTCTTCTCTAATAAATTCCTTTTTCCAAATATATATATAATTCCTCCTATCCACGCTTAAAATAACGCTTATCAAATATTCATCCTACGTTCCTATCTAAAATTGACCGTTAGAAAATCAGATAAAGATTGCATAAAGATTAATCCTCTTCCTTCCAACGACAGAAATGCAATAAATACTTTCCTATCGAAAACGTAAATATATGTATACTTAGCAAATATTCGTTCTATATATCCCCTCTCCTCCTCTCCTCCGCCGATTTTTATTCCCATGCATACATACCATACTTCCTCTGTATCGTTTTTCGATGCGCCACCTATGAATAATTCAGAATCATGGGGCGCGTCGTGGAACAAATTCTAATTGAGGCAAGCGCAATGAGAACGATGTACACGTTACGCGTATCACCGGCGCAAGTTAAACGTAATCTGGCCGGGATCGTCTCGAAGATGGAAGGAGGGAGAGAAAGAGAGAGAGAGAGAGAGGAAGGGGAGGAGGGGTTATTGATTCAAGGAAAGGGGAGAGAAGGTTGCCTCGTCATCCGGCAGCAATTCCTGAAACCTAGCGTTTCACCCCCTCGTGCTTTCCGTTTCCTCCTCGGTGAGCAGAGTCAATTAGAGTCTCGATCCGAGATTTTCAATCTTCAGTCAAGGTTGCGTCACGCGAGCCGAGTAATGAGCGAGGGATAAAGACGCCTCGTAAAATTACGCAACAAATGCGAACGAATCGCAAATGGAATAATAAATTCTGATAAAGACCGATAAAGCCTTATCGAAATCGAAATAGGGAAATTAAATTATCGAGGAGGTTTAGAAGAATCGTATGAGAAATAAGAAATCTTGTATGGTTGTGGTACACATTCGTTCGAAATAGAAAAATTAATCGGAGAGTATTCGAGAGATTTGTGTTTAAAGATAGTAAAAAAAAAGAGATTTAATCCTGATCTCTTGAAATTTTGTTATTTAGTTTAAAGTGTGATTTGTTCCTTCTTTTTTTTTCTCTTTGCTTCCTTCGAACGAATTAATTGGATGTCTTTCGGATATTCAATTTTTTAATTCGTAATTTGCATGGAAATAGTGTGAAAATTGGAAGTACTGGTATTATCTAAATATTTAAATTTGAATTATAAATATTGAAGTTAATATTTAAAAATTAAATTCTTGATCCAATATTTGCAATATTATATATCGATATTGGATAAAGCGATTTATTATTTTATTTTATTTTCAATCAATAATAACTTTGAAAGGAAAAAGTGTAATATTTCTCTGTAAAAAAGATTTCGAACCTGTTCGTTCGAGAACATCAAGTTTACTTCGTTCAAACCGACGTTTAATTTTATCTTCAACTATGTAGTTAATTTTCAAAGTTAACCACGAAACGAACGACTTTCGTTCTTCTCAACATCGTAATAAACGAAGTATAACATTTGATTATTTTGAAAAATAAATCTGTTGCTTTGAATGTACGAACATTAATACAATTTTCTGAGGTGTGATAATAAAAGATAATTTCTAAAAATATAAAATAATTGGAATAAATTTGTACTCGTTTCTCTAAGTAAACATTCTGCATAATTATTGAATGAATAATAGTTAGTTGCAACTCAAGGTGTTGCTTAATTTGATATTATATTTAGCGAAGGAATCTTATTAACATAAATTAAAATTTCAACCATCTGATTCGTAATAATTCTCTTTAACCCAAGAAAAAAATTTAATTACCTCTTATCGAAATAATTCTCTACAAATTAGGAAAGAGTTTAATTGCGTCCATTCGTGTACACACTGTGTTGCACAATCTTAATAACATTATCAACGAGATTGAATCATTAAAAGTGTTGAATTAAATTAACTTGAAATTCGCTTGAAATTTAAAAAAAAAAAACTCTCTCTCTCTCTCTCTCTCTCTCTAAGAAAATCAACTTTGTATTATTTATTATTATCATTATTTTTTCTTTTCCCTATAAAGAATCACCATATGCTCGAGAAATTTTCTTCTAAATCTTTCTCGTGTTTCGAAGAACTTTCTCCCTTTCTTTCTCATCGAGTGCCCAATCTGGAAAATGCGATAGACGGTGGAAAAATCCTAAGGTAGCTGAAGGCGGATAAAGTCGATTTTCCCCAGTCAACACAGGTCACCGGTGATTTCAATTTGTGTTGATTTTTGACACGGCAAACAGAACTCCAGCCTTTTGAACACTTCTGTCTGCTTTATTTGTCCCCCCTCGTGCCTTTTCGATCTCGGTTCATTTAACCCTTCCTTCCTTCCTTCCGAGACATCCAAGGCTATTTATTACGTTGCTTGCAAACTATTTTGTTTATGTGCATCAAGTTCTCTCTCCAAAAGAAGTAGAGCCTTTTCGTGTTTTACTTTGAAAAATTCTATTACTCACTCGAGACTTATCTGCGTGAACATTTTCATAAGAACTGGAAGAACGGCGGGGAAAAGTTGGGAATCCGCTTAAAAAATTTTATAATATATTTATCGAGTTATAAGAGTTCGTTACAGCCCATCCTGCCATTTGGTGCATGAAATAATTCTAAGTAAGAAGAATCTGATTATATCCTCCCTCCCTTTTTTTTTTTTTTTTTAAGGGGTATATAAGAACTACTT